CATGCTCTCTGAGTCAGTTAAAATCACGATGTGTGTGTATGTGTGTGTGTGTGTATGTATGTGTGTGTGTCCTCTAGCCAGCGGAAAGCTGCAGTGACCACCTCCACCTCCATTCTTAAGCTGGATGTTGTGGTATCATATGCTAGGCTCTCCTGCACTAAACGTAGACCATTACCTTTTGCTAAGAAACCCCAAGCACTTCTTGTGCCTCTTGACACTGAACCGTCTGTGTAAATAATCAAATCCTCTGAGCGAGCATTATCTGATAGTCTGTGTTTGTGTATGTATGTGTATCATCGATATCAGCACAGGGGCGTCCTCAATGACGACACAGGTGAGGGTTGGAATAACAGAACCACTATCCTCACATGTAAACCCTGAGTCTAGGGCAGGCTCGAGAATCCCGGACGAGTACCCATTTATTTGTCACCGACCTCTGATCGACCTTGCTGGTGCGTGGCTCCTGGTACTGGCCTGTGACAGACAATCTATCCAAAAAACACACTAAACCGAACACCCCCGGAGCACACACAACAGTCTTTAATGAATAATCACAGAACAACATAAGACAGTAGATGTCGAAAGATGTAGGCACCCTTGATTCGAGACGCCTGGTCGTGCTGGCTTTACAAATCACCAAGCACGCATTCCATCACCATAGATAATCCTTAGCTTTATACCCACACTACTCCCGCAAAGCTCTTATTCTAAAGTGCCTAGACTCCACCAGTGTGGGGGTAAGTGTGAAAGGATAGATAACATCACAATAACAATTCCAAAACCAACCCTAACTATCCAAATACCTCAGCACTGCCTATTTAATACAGTAAGACAAAACATCCTGTCACAGTCGGACGCTACACAACACAGAGAAGCTATGCTTGCATCCTAACGAAACACATTATCGCAATCTATTCGGTCACTAGAATATTACTTCTTCTGCCTTTCTATCCCCCAATGGAGCATAGGCCCTCAAGCAACTCATGGCAAGTCGTTCTATCCTTCGCCATTACATGGAGCTCTCACCATGTCCTCCCCATCTTTATAACTTCATTCTCCAGCTCTCTTCTCCGTGTGTTTTTTTGGGTCTTTCTTTATTCCTATGCCCCTGTGGGTTCCAATGCAAAGACATTCTAGTTATGCTGTTCTGTTTTCTCTGTGTGTGTCCTATCCAGCGTCAGCGTCTTTTCCACACCTCTTGGTCTACTGGAGCCTGTTTAGTTCTCTCCAGAGTTCTACATTAGTTATTCTATCATACCATTTTATTCCCTCTATTCTGCGCAGGCACCAGTTAATGAAAGTCTGTAAATTTTTAGTAATTGCCTTAGTTGTTCTCTCTGTTTCCGGCCACATACAAAAGTAGTGATTTGACATTGAATTAAAAATTTTTAGTTTAGTATTTCTTTTAATTACTTTTGACCTCCCCAGTGATGTAAAAAGTCTACTTGCCTTTTGAATTCCTATTTTAATATCTCTACCACTTCCTCCATCTTTATCTACATTACTGCCCGAATAGGTGTACGACTCCACGTCTTGGAAAGAAGTGCCATTAAGAGATACCACATTACTATTTGCCTGATTTATTCTCATTATTTTTATCTCTTTATGGATTTTCAGACTAAGCTGCTGTGATCTCGCATTAAGTGTATTTAATTTATCTTGCTCTGATTCCGTGAATGGAGTAGATGAGAAATATCATTAGCGAAGTCCAGATCTATAGTTTTCACACTCCTGTAGATCACCTTTTTTGGGCAGTTTCACACGATATCATTCTCTCCGGTCTGCTGGTATTTCTTTGGTCTCCCAGACTTTACTAAATAATCTATGTAGCAATCATGTTGATGTGTTTATGTTGGCTCTAATGGCTTCAGCTGGAATACCATCTGGGCCTGCTGCCTTTCCTCCCTTGAGAAGATTGATGGCTTTTCAAATTTCCTCTTTAGATGGTATCCCACAGTTGATATCCAGTTCCATTTCTAAAGGATGGATATATGGGGGAACAGGGGGAACCTGTGGGCCTTTTCTATTTAGAAGCATTTCAAAATATTCAGCCCGTCTGTCCATTTGATCTTTATTGTTTGTAAGTACCTTGACTATTTTTGATCATCTAGTTGGCTGACTATATTTACCTACTAATATTACTATAACGCGCTTAATTTCTACTCCGTCAAACTATCTCCTGTCTCCTGTCCAGTGTCCGAATGCCCCATTGTCCAACACTTCGTGGCTTTTGTCCAAGTCCTTTCGCTCAGTCGGGACGATGTAGAAATCGTAGACCCGCCGTGGAGCGTTCACTTTTAGCCAGGCAGAGAACAGCCGTCAAAACTGTATCCGGCTAACTGTATTTTCCATCGGCCATCCCGGCACATATATGGACAGTCATGATTCCACCGTGCTGACCTGTCCGTCACTTCTGGGTCATGCACAAACATACAGTACACCGTTTCTATGGTATGCACCGCCACATGACTGTACAAACAGGGTTCTGACATTTATATTTTGCAACATATTATACTTACAACATGTTTGATTAGATTTATTACTATACTTTATAAAAGTTGACTAATGTAAGTATAATTAGAGCACATACCAACGTTTGTAATTAAGACTTGGATGTTGTAAACATTTTATCATTAACTATGAAAGGATATACAAATAAATAACTCTATGCAAGGACTGAACCGGAAGGGCAGAATGTTAGACGGGCCTACGTGTCCAGTTCTTAACCCTTAGAAAATAAAATGTGTTCCTTCATTCATTCTTCCTAAAATAGTAATGAAATGACCCAACCCCCACCCCCATCTGCAAAAGAGATAAATCTGCGTAATGTGCTGTCAGTGTATCATGGTTGAGACATCGACGTGCTGGCGGGACACCTTACACACAGGAACAGGCAATGTCCGATACTGCCAGTGGCTTCTGCACACAACAACAAATTAGTTTGTGCATTTTACTCTAATGTGTTGTTAGACTTGATGTCACAGGTGTGTTGCGGTAGTACCATTGCTGCTGACGGTGATAATGATGATGGCGATGATGATTATAATGACGACCATGACGATGACGACGACAATTACAGTGATGATGACGACGACAATGACAGTGATGATGACGACGACAATACTGATGAAGACGACGGTGCCGACGACCGTCTGACGGGTGGAATCCGCAAGCGACCCGACTTCCAGGGGAGCCAACTCATAAAATGATCTGGTTCTTGTAGCAGCCGCTGAGATCCTTGTGTGGCAGGACGATGGAGTTCAGGATGATTACCTCCCTTGGGATCTGAACGTTGGAGCCTGGCGATTAGAAATTATATTCACTGATGTGTGGGAGCTGTGTGGGAGCTGATGTGTGGGAGCTGTGTGGGAGCTGATGTGTGGGGGCTTTGTGAGAGCTGATGTGTGGGCGCTGTGTGGGAGCTGTGTGGGAGCTGATGTGTGGGAGCTGTGTGAAAGCTGATGTGTGGGAGCTGTGTGAAAGCTGATGAGTGGGACCTGTGTGGGAGCTGATGAGTGGGAGCTGTGTGGTATCTGATGTGTGGAAGCCTATGTGTAGGAGCTAATTTGTAAGAGTTATGTGGTAGTTGATGTGTGGGAGCGGATATGTGATATATGTGTGGGTTCTGTGTGGTAGCTGAAATGTGGGAGCCGATGTGTGGTAGCTGTATGGTAGCCAATGTGTGGGAACTGTATGGTAGATGATTTGTGGGAGCCGATGTGTGGTAACTTATGTGTGGGAGGTGTGTGATTACTGACGTGAGGAAATGTTTGATAGTTGATATGTGATGTGGAAAATGTGTCATAGTTAATGTTTGAGAAATGTGATAGCTGATGTGTGAGAGGTGTATGAAAAATGATGAATATTATTTGGGGATGGGTGATTTATGTTTAGTGATGTGTAGGATGTGTAGAAGATGTGTGGACGATGTGTGTGGGAGAACTGCTACTGATGTGACGGTGGTGTGTTATTACTGATGTATGGGGACGAGTCTCTGCTGATGGATTCATATTGTTATACATGTAACAGTGATAGATATATTCATATTGTTATACATGTAACAGTGAAAGATAGATTCATATTTTCATACATGTAACAGTGATAGATGGATTCATATTGTTATACATGTAACAGTGATAGATAGATTCATATTGTTATACATGTAACAGTGATAGATAGATTCATATTTTCATACATGTAACAGTGATAGATGGATTCATATTGTTATCCATGTAACAGTGATAGATGGATTCATATTGTTATACATGTAACAGTGATAGATGGATTCATATTGTTATATATGTAACAGTGATAGATGGATTCATATTGTTATACATGTAACAGTGATAGATGGATTCATATTGTTATACATGTAACAGTGATAGATGGATTCATATTGTTATATATGTAACAGTGATAGATGGATTCATATTGTTATACATGTAACAGTGATAGATAGATTCATATTTTCATACATGTAACAGTGATAGATGGATTCATATTGTTATACATGTAACAGTGATAGATGGATTCATATTGTTATACATGTAACAGTGATAGATGGATTCATATTGTTTTAAATGTAACAGTGATAGATGGATTCATATTGTTATACATGTAACAGTGATAGATGGATTCATATTTTTATACATGTAACAGTGATAGATGGACTCAAATTGTTATATACGTAATTGTGATAAATGGATTTGTATTGTTATACTTGTAACAGTGATAGATGGATTCATATTGTTTTACATGTAACAGTGATAAATGGATTCATATTGTTATACAAGTAACAGTGACAGATGGGTTTATATTGTTATACCTATAACGGTGATAGATGGGTTTATATTGTTATACCTATAACAGTGATAGATGGGTTTATATTGTTATACCTATAACAATGATAGATGGGTTTATATTGTTATACCTATAACGGTGATAGATGGGTTTATATTGTTATACCTATAACAGTGATAGATGGGTTTATATTGTTATACCTATAACGGTGATAGATGGGTTCAGCTTGCCCTCACTGGAACACATGCTCTGAAGTTCTAGCTTAGCAAATGGTTTGTTGGGGTTGGGGTCATCTGGGGTGCCTTCTACCCGAGCCCAGGCGCCAACGGTACTATGCCAGCCGACAATACTGTACAGCACACAGCAATGGGCCTGAAAAAGTACAGAACACTGGTGAGATTCCAAGTCTCTCAACACAAGGGTACGTCTACTGTGTTCTATAGCCTCGACGTCTCTCAACACAAGGGCACGTCTACTGTGTTCTATAGCCTCGACGTCTCTCAACACAAGGTAACGTCTACTGTGTTCTATAGCCTCGACGTCTCTCAACACAAGGGCACGTCTACTGTGTTCTATAGCCTCCACGTTTCTCAACACAAGGGTACGTCTACTGTCTTCTCTAGCCTCCACGTCTCTCAACACAAGGTTACATCTACTGTGTTCTATAGCCTCCACGTTTCTCAACACAAGGGTACGTCTACTGTCTTCTCTAGCCTCCACGTCTCTCAACACACGGTTACGTCTAGTGTTGTTTAGCCTCTACGTCTCTCAACACAATGTTACGTCTACTGTGTTCTCTAGCCTCCATAAAGTCACTCTAGTGTCTTCTCTAGCCTCCACAAAGTCACTCTAGTGTCTTCTCCAGTTTAGACTAAGGTTACGTCTACTGTGTTCTCTAGCCTCCATAAAGTCACTCTAGTGTCTTCTCCAGTTTAGACTAAGGTTACGTCTACTGTGTTCTCTAGCCTCCATAAAGTCACTCTAGTGTCTTCTCTAGCCTCCACAAAGTCACTCTAGTGTCTTCTCCAGTTTAGACTAAGGTTACGTCTACTGTGTTCTCTAGTCTCCACAAAGTCACTCTAGTGTCTTCTCTAGTCTCCACAAAGTCACTCTAGTGTCTTCTCTAGCCTCCACAAAGTCACTCTAGTGTCTTCTCTAGTTTACACTAAGGTTACGTCTACTGTGTTCTATAGCCTTCATAAAATCACGTCTAGCGTCTTCTCTAACCTTCAGTTAAATATAGTGTCTTCTCTAGCCTCCATAAAGTGACGTCTAGTGTGTTTTAAAGCCTCAACAAGGTGACGTCTATTGTGTTTTATAGAATCCAAAAAAGTCACCATAGTATTATGAAGCTCAAAAATCTATAATCTGTAACGCAACTCTCCACGTAAGGTCACGTCTAGTGTGTTCTCTAACCTCCACTAGGTCACGTCTAGTGTGTTCTCTAACCTCCACTAGGTCACCTATAGTGTGGTCTCTAGCCCCTACTAGGTCATCTATAGTGTGTCCTCTAACTTCCACTAGTTCACCTATAGTGTGTTCTCTAACCTCCACTAGGTCACGTCTAGTGTGTTCTCTAACCTCCACTAGGTCACCTATAGTGTGTTCTCTAACCTCCACTAGGTCACCTATAGTGTGTTCTCTAACCTCCGCTAGTTCACCTATAGTGTGTTCTCTAACCTCCACTAGGTCACCTATAGTGTGTTCTCTAACCTCCGCTAGGTCACCTATAGTGTGTTCTCTAACCTCCGCTAGGTCACCTATAGTGTGTTCTCTAACCTCCACTAGGTTACCTATTGTGTGTTCTCTAACCTCCACTAGTTCACCTATAGTGTGTTCTCTAACCTCCGCTAGGTCACCTTAGTGTGTTCTCTAACCTCCACTAGGTCACCTATAGTGTGTTCTCTAACCTCCACTAGGTCACCTATAGTGTGTTCTCTAACCTCCGCTAGGTCACCTATAGTGTGTTCTCTAACCTCCACTAGGTCACCTATAGTGTGTTCTCTAACCTCCGCTAGGTCACCTATAGTGTGTTCTCTAACCTCCACTAGGTCACCTATAGTGTGTTCTCTAACCTCCACTAGGTCACGTCTAGTGTGTTCTCTAACCTCCACTAGGTCACGTCTAGTGTCTTCTCTAACCACCACTAGGTCACCTATAGTGTGTTCTCTAACCTCCACTAGGTCACCTATTGTGTGTTCTCTAACCTCCACTAGTTCACCTATAGTGTGTTCTCTAACCTCCACTAGTTCACCTATAGTGTGTTCTTTAACCTCCACTAGGTCACCTATAGTGTGTTCTCTAGCCTCCACTAGTTCACCTATAGTGTGTTCTCTTACCTCCACTAGGTCACCTATAGTGTGTTCTCTAACCTCTACTAGGTCACGTATAGTGTGTTCTCTAACCTCCGCTAGGTCACCTATACTGTGTTCTCTACCCTCCACTAGGTCACCTATAGTGTGTTCTCTAACCTTTACTAGGTCACCTATTGTGGTTCTCTAACCTTCACTAGGTCACCTATAGTGTGTTCTCTAACCTCCGCTAGGTCACCTATTGTGTGTTCTGTAACCTCCACTAGGTCACCTATAGTGTGTTCTCTAACCTCCACTAGGTCACCTCTAGTGTGTTCTCTAACCACCACTAGGTCACCTATATTGCGTTCTCTAACCTCCAATGGGTCACCTATAGTGTGTTCTCTAACATTCACTAAGTCACGTCTAGTGTGTTCTCTAACCTCTACTAGGTCACCTATTGTGTGTTCTCTAACCTTCACTAGGTCACGTCTAGTGTATTCTCTAACCTCCACTAGGTCACGTCTAGTGTGTTCTCTAACCTCCACTAGGTCACCTATAGTGTGTTCTCTAACCTCCACTAGGTCACCTATAGTGTGTTCTCTAACATCTACTAGGTCACCTATAGTGTGTTCTATAGCCTCTACTAGGTCACGTCTAGTGTGTTCTCTAACCTCACTAGGTCACCTATAGTGTATTCTCTAACCTCCACTAGGTCACCTATGGTGTTTTCTCTAACCTCCTCTAGGTCACCTATAGGGTCTTCTCTAACCACCACTAGGTCACCTATACTGTGTTCCCTAACCTCCACCAGGTCACCTATATTGTGTTGTCTAACCTTCACTAGGTCACGTATAGTGCGTTCTCTAACCTCCACTAGTTCACGTCTAGTGTGTTCTCTAACCTCCGCTAGGTCACGTCTAGTGTGTTCTCTAACCTCCACTAGTTCACCTATTGTGTGTTCTCTAACCTCCACTAGTTCACCTATTGTGTGTTCTCTAACCTCCACTAGTTCACCTATTGTGTGTTCTCTAACCCCTGCTAGGTCATGTATAGTGTGTACTCTAGCCGCCGCTAGGTCACCTATTATGTGTTCTCTTACCTCCACTAGTTCACCTATATTGTGTTCTCTAGCCTCCACTAGTTCACGTCTAGTGTGTTTTCTAACCTCCCTAGGTCACGTATAGTGTGTTCTATAACCTCCACTAGTTCACCTATTGTGTGTTCTCTAACCTCCACTAGTTCACCTATTGTGTGTTCTCTAACCTCCACTAGTTCACCTATTGTGTGTTCTCTAACCTCCACTAGTTCACCTATACTGTGTTCTCTAACCTCCACTAGGTCACCTATAGTGTGTTCTCTTACCTCCACTAGTTCACATATATTGTGTTCTCTAACCTCCACTAGGTCACCTATAGTGTGTTCTCTAACCTCCGCTAGGTCACCTATTGTGAGTTCTTTAACCTCCACTAGGTCACCTATAGTGTGTTCTCTAACCTCCACTAGGTCACCTATAGTGTGTTCTCTAACCTCCGCTAGGTCACGTCTAGTGTGTTCTCTAACCTCCACTAGGTAACCTATAGTGTGTTCTCTAACCTCCGCTAGGTCACCTATAGTGTGTTCTCTAACCTCCACTAGGTCACGTCTAGTGTGTTCTCTAACCTCCACTAGGTCACCTATAGTGTGTTCTCTAATATCCACTAAGTCACCTATAGTGTGTTCTCTAACCTCCACTAGGTCACGTCTAGTGTGTTCTCTAACCTCCACTAGGTCACCTATAGTGTTTTCTCTAACCTCCACTAGGTCACCTATAGTGTGTTCTCTAACCCCCACTTAGTCACGTATAGTGTGTTCTTAAACCCCAACAAGGTTATGTATAGTATGTTTTCTAGACAACACGTCTCTGCACAACGTCACGTCTAGTGTATTTTTTAGCCTCTACAAGGTGCCACCTATTGTTTTATGTAGCCTCCACAACGTCATGTATATTGTTTTATCTAGCCTTGACATCTCTGCACAACGTCACGCTATCTGTTTTTTAACTTTCACGTAACTCTACAGGGTCATGTGTAGTCTTTTCAATAGCCTCCACAAGAACACGTCTAGAGTTTTCTCTAGCTACTACGATTCTGCACAAATGTATTCTCTAGCCTCCACAAGGTCACGTCTAGTGTGTTCTTTAGCTTCCTCAACGTCATCTTCAGCCTCTAGGTCGCTGCATAACGTCACGCCTTCTGTGTTTTTTAGCCACTACGTCTCTGAAAAAAAGTGACGTCTAGTGTTTTCTCTAGCATCCCTGAGGGCAGGTCTAGCGTGTTCTACAACCTCTATAAAGTCGCGAATAGCGGGCTCTATAGCCTCTGCAATGTAACTTCTAGTATGTTTTTTAGTCTTATCAAGGTCATGTTTAGTGTTTTCTCTAACTTCCACGTCTCTGGACAAGGTCACGTCTGGTGTACTCTATAACCTCCACAACATTACGTCAAGTGTGTTCTATAACCTCCACAACGCCATGTCTAGTGTATTCTATAGCCTCTACGTCTCTGCACAAGGTCATGTCTAGTGTTGTCTCTAACCTCCACAAGGTCATGTCTAGTGTTGTCTCTAACCTCCACAAGGTCATGTCTAGTGTTGTCTCTAACCTCCACAAGGTCATGTCTAGTGTTGTCTCTAACCTCCACAAGGTCATGTCTAGTGTTGTCTCTAACCTCCACAAGGTCATGTCTAGTGTTGTCTCTAACCTCCACAAGATCATGTCTAGTGTTGTCTCTAACCTCCACAAGGTCATGTCTAGTGTTGTCTCTAACCTCCACAAGGTCATGTCTAGTGTTGTCTCTAACCTTCACAAGGTCATGTCTAGTGTTGTCTCTAACCTCCACAAGATGATGTCTAGTGTTGTCTCTAACCTCCACAAGGTCATGTCTAGTGTTGTCTCTAACCTTCACAAGGTCATGTCTAGTGTTGTCTCTAACCTCCACAAGGTCATGTCTAGTGTTGTCTCTAACCTCCACAATTTCATGTCTAGTGTTGTCTCTAACCTCCACAAGGTCATGTCTAGTGTTGTCTCTAACCTCCACAAGGTCATGTCTGGTGTTGTTTCTAACCTCCACAAGGTCATGTCTAGTGTTGTCTCTAATCTCCACAAGGTCATGACTAGTGTTGTCTCTAACCTCCACAAGGTCATGTCTAGTGTTGTCTCTAACCTTCACAAGGTCATGTCTAGTGTTGTCTCTAACCTCCACAAGGTCATGTCTAGTGTTGTCTCTAACCTCCACAAGGTCATGACTAGTGTTGTCTCTAATCTCCACAAGGTCATGTCTAGTGTTGTCTCTAACCTCCACAAGGTCATGTGTAGTGTTGTCTCTAACCTCCACAAGGTCATGTCTAGTGTTGTCTTTAATCTCCACAATGTCTTGTCTAGTGTTTTCTCTAAACTCCACAAGGTCATGTCTAGTGTTGTCTCTAACCTCCACAAGGTCATGTCTAGTGTTGTCTCTAACCTCCACAAGGTCATGTCTAGTGTTGTCTCTAACCTCCACAAGGTCATGTCTAGTGTTGTCCCTAACCTCCACAATGTCATATCTAGTGTTGTCTCTAATCTCCACTAGGTCATGTCTAGTGTTGTCTCTAACCTCCACAAGATCACGTCTAATGTGTTCTCTAACCTCCACAAGATCACGTCTAATGTGTTCTCTAGCCTCAACAAGATCACGTCTAATGTGTTTTCTAGCCTCCACAAGATCACGTCTAGTGTTTTCTCCAGCGTTCACAAGATCACGTCTAATATGTTCTCTAGCGTCCACAAGATCACGTCTAATGTGTTCTCTAGCCTCCACAAGATCACGTCTACTGTTTTCTCTAGCGTCCACAAGATCACGTCTATTGTGTTCTCTAGCGTCCACAAGATCACGTCTAGTGTGTTCGCTAGCGTCCACAAGATCACGTCTAGTGTGTTCGCTAGCGTCCACAAGATCACGTCTAGTGTGTTCTCTAGCGTCCACAAGATCACGTCTAGTGTGTTCGCTAGCGTCCACAAGATCACGTCTAGTGTGTTCTCTAGCGTCCACAAGATCACGTCTAATGTGTTGTCTAGCCTCCACAAAATCACGTCTAGTGTGTTCTCTAGTCTCAATGTCTCTCCTCAATTTTCATTAGACCGTTGAATATCTCTTGAGTTTGTTTCTTAAATATCTCTCTTACCTCTAAAACTGCAGCCTCTATAACAATTCCATCAGCTGTAGAACTGTATCTTCTAGAACAACTATCTCCCCTGTAGAACTGTATCTTCTATAACAACTATCTCACCTGTAGAACTGTATCTTCTTGAACAACTATCTCACCTGTAAAACTGTATCTTCTAGAACAACTATCTCACCTGTAGAACTGTATCTTCTTTAACAACTGTCTCACCTGTAAAACTGTATCTTCTAGAACAACAATCTCACCTGTAGAACTGTATCTTCTAGAACAACAATCTCACCTCTAAAACTGTATCTTCTTGAACAACTATCTCATCTGTAAAACTGTATCTTCTAGAACAACTATCTCACCTGTAAAACTGTATCTTCTAGAACAACTATCTCACCTCTAAAACTGTATCTTCTAGAACAACAATCTCACCTCTAAAACTGTATCTTCTAGAACAACTATCTCACCTGTAGAACTGTATCTTCTAGAACAACTATCTCACCTGTAGAACTGTATCTTCTAGAACAACTATCTCACCTGTAGAACTGTATCTTCTAGAACAACTATCTCACCTGTAGAACTTATCTTCTAGAACAACTATCTCACCTGTAGAACTGTATCTTTTAGAACAAATATCTCACCTCTGAAACTGTATCTTCTAGAACAACTATCTCACCTCTGAAACTGTATCTTCTAGAACAACTATCTCACCTGTAGAACTGTATCTTCTAGAACAACTATCTCACCTCTAAAACTGTATCTTCTAGAACAACTATCTCACCTGTAGAACTGTATCTTCTAGAACAACTATCTCACCTGTAGAACTGTATCTTCTAGAACAACTATCTCACCTCTAAAAGTGCACCTTCTAGTACGATCGTCTCCCGGACCCTGGCGCCTGCAGCAACTGTGGCATCACGTCCTATGGTGACGTTCGGTCCCAGCTGCAATGACAACTCAATAGAGAGTCATAATGAACAACTACATGCAGACGATGGTATGGACAACATAAGAAAACGCATACAAGAGCGCGCACCATAGCTCACACACACAAGCATACACACACACACACACGTCATCGAACAAACACACACTCGTGTGCCATCTCGCAGTCACACAAAAGCGCACGCCTTCGCACACACACACACACACGTGTGCGCGCAATCGCACACATAGACGCGTTAGCGCACAGACACACACACACACACATGCGCGGACGCCTTCGCACACACACGGCACCCATCAAACAGACACACACACGCGTGCACGCTATCGCACTCAACACCAGTGTTGCCACTTTTCTTTGACAAAAAATTTCTAAAACGGTGTCAAAAAATATCTAAAAAGATCTCAATCTGCGTGGAAAAGATCTAGAAAAAACATCCGAATTGAAAAAGTCAAAAATTACCTAGCTTTTGTTATGACCTACCCTACATAATCATGTCCTCACCTTCACTGATGTCTGCCTCACAAGATCCACAGGCTGAACCTTAGCTTGGATAATGAAGTTGAAGCTTCAGATCCAAAATGACCCTGGCATGCTTTAGCTGTTCAAATTTTTGTATAAGTGGAACAGTAGGCTTATTTCCATAGTCTCATCAGGCCGAATTTTAATGGCACGATACATTTAAGAGGTCAAATTTCATCCTGTTTCTTAGGTTAGATTTGATATAATTCCTAGCACTGAAAACTCTTTCTACGTCAGCATTTGAGTGGGGTAGTATCATGGCAGACATGGCACTATTAAAAAGCTTACAGAATAGACTGTGTGATGTAAAAGTAAAGTAAAGTAAAGATCCATTTTCACGCCTTTAGGCGTATCGGGCATATGGGTAGAGCGCCCATATTTTTACAGACCATCACTTTAAACTGACTCACTTCACTCCAAAACGCTTTAGTTTCTGTTTTGTTTGTCCATTCAGCTAACTTTATTTTGGTTAACTGATATTCTGCTTCCGCGACACTATTATCAGAAGCCCCTAAAAATTGCATAACTTTACAATATTTAGGTATGTCCTTTATTGGCTGAAGTATGTTGCTCACAGAAAAAAATGAAATATTTTTCAAAATATCTAGATTTTCAGGAAGTCTCTGCTTCAATTGCTTGACTAATGAGATAAGGAAATCTTGACAGCGTTTTCTTAAGTTGTTCTCTTCATTCTCTGTAAACAGTCCTTTTGTTTTTAAATCATCAATTGTTGATTCGATTTGATATCCAAGGTATGGCTTGGGAACCAAATAGTTCTCTATAGTGCAAGTGAGCAAATCAGCTTTTAGAAGTTAGCAACACCAGTCTTTTACCAGCTGAGTGAAACAGCAAAGTGAAATCATCAAGTAATTCAACATGTTTAGATTCGTACAGTTTATTAACTTGTTTGTGCTTCCATTATAATAGGTTATAAAAAGAGAATGAATGACAATTTTTTTCATCACTGTACATTCCATATAGTATTTCAGCTGTGTAGCACTTTTCACTTTGTCTTATTTCAAAGTGTGTCTTCAACTTCAACCATTGGTTCATAATTCTTTAAACAGCTGGTTAAATTGGTAACAATCTAGTTTTGCAATCTGACAGAATTTTCGGTGGCGTAGAACCATCATTCAAAGCTGTATATAATGTATTGTATTGCTGTTGTCTGACAAATGATTTGGAAAACCAGTAAAGTGTTTCAGCAATAAGGTATTCAAAATTGCTTGGTAAATATTTAGATGAAGCATGTGATAATGCTAGCTGCAAAGAATGACACATACATTTTATAAGGATTAAAGATGGGTTAGCTTCCTTCAACTTGGCATAAACGCCATTGTTTATACCAACCATCACTGAGGCATTATTAGTACCAATTACAGCCAAATTCTTCAAGTCTAAATGTTTGCTGATTATAAGGTCCTTCAGTTCTTAAACTATACTTTCTACATCGCACTTTTCCAATTGAACTAGTCCAAGATTTTTTAACAAATCGCTCAAATGGTCACAGTTTGAAATTGCACAGTGACAAATTAAAAACATTGCGAATGATACTTTAACTTTTGATGATTCATTTATCAGAATAGTTCTGAAAACAGATGTCAGTGGTGTAAAATCTTTAAAGGGAACTGCAGGTTTATGCTTTTTTAGTCTTTGCATGACTCTTTGAGTTTTGTATTTTCGCTTTAGTTTCACACTTGCAGTACTTACAACGAGCCTTTGTCATATCCCCAGGAACTGCCATCACCCAGTTTTTAATTTTGTCATCATGCAACCACTCTTTCCAAATTTTTTGCTCATAATTTACTTTTGGCATGTTGAAAGGTTTTTTTCAAAGTGAAAGCCACATAATAAGGTGAGCAATTATTTTTTTTTAATCACATGAAAAAGAAACGCAAAGTCAGCACAGTGAGGATACGGTTGAAACAAAGTTATTATGATTGACGCGCCTTTTTATTAATCAGTACCGGGGCTGCCAGATATTTGTGCGTTGACCTCAGTGAGAGTTCAAAGTTCAAGTAATGGCAGTTGTCACAATGTACGTGCCAGACCAAAACAAAAATATTGTAGTAAATATTTTACACAGTAATTATTAAATTGACACTGAAAGAAAAAAAAAATCTTTAAAATATCTAACCCCATATGAAAAGTTTCTAGAAAAATATTTACGATCTAAACGTCAAAAACAATATCTAAATGCAATGAAAAAGATCTCAATTTGGATGTAAAAGATCCAAAGTGGCAATACTGTTCAACACACGTGCGGGGACACACCATCGCACACATAACGTTATGTTATCAATGCAGTTATCTCCCTGGTGATGCGTGACGTCGGCAACCTTCCTCTCGTACAGTCAAGCACAAATGGGCTGGAACTTTCTCACCTTCAAACCTTCCTCCCGTTTCAACGGGTGGTCATATTTAAACAATAAGTTAAACACGAAATTTGCGAGTATCCCGTGCTTAGATTCTACTCAGTTGACTTCCCATTGACCCTCTTGCCACATCCTGGGAACTGCAGTGATCTTCATTGTTATTAATTGCTGGCTCGAATGAGTCACCGCATCTTTCCATTCACCAACTGACAAGAACGAGAAAACATGGACGCTGGCAGACGTTCAGAAGTTACACGTACTGTTTATTTTCACTCGCTGATGTTGCAGTCAGTAAATGTTTATACACGACAATATCACTCATCAATGCTCTAAACAGTCAATCATACCTTTGTAACATCGTAGAATTCATATAACTCGAAGAAACACAGTAGCTCCCTCCATCCAGACGACAGTCATTCACAGCTGGCCACCGTTTCCGTCAGCCGCTATTTTATGCCAGGTAGGCATTGGGAAATCACGCTATTAAGACGTCAACATTCTTCCGAACACATACACCTTCCCTTGGTCTAAACGAGACTGCCTCACAAACCTTTCTTCGCTATTATATAGCCCTCTGATCTGTCATGTTCTCGAATATTCTGGATAATTTCATTCTCACGAATTCCCCCCGTTGAAAGTCGTGTCTGGCCCGTGATAATTCGCATTTCACACGAATCCTGCCAGTCAACCTTCATGGTTCACGTGAACAATCATGTTTCACATAAAACCTGACTTTCAGATGTCTCTCATGAAACTCAAGACATAAATCTCGTGTTATCTCAGTCAGTCAAAACATTCGTCTTACATTTATTACTGACGTCATCTATCGGGCATGAATTAATGGGGAGAAAATGACTCACTACAGGAACCCCTGGGGAAATCCCATTGTAACAGCAGTAATAAAACAAATTTGAAAACAAGGAGACCATTTAATTTAATGTTAACAAGAAGCGGAGACCTCTTTTTAATATAATGTTAACGAGAAGCGGAGACCTCTTTTTAATATAATGTTAACGAGAAGCGGAGACCTCTTTTTAATATAATGTTAACGAGAAGCGGAGACCTCTTTGGTTATAATGTTAACGAGAAGCGGAGACCTCTTTGTTTATAATGTTAACAAGAAGCGGAGACCTCTTTGGTTATAATGTTAACGAGAAGCGGAGACCTCTTTGTTTATAATGTTAACAAGAAGCGGAGACCTCTTTGTTTATAATGTTAACGAGAAGCGGAGACCCCTTTGTTTATAATGTTAACAAGAAGCGGAGACCTCTTTGTTTATAATGTTAACAAGAAGCGGAGACCTCTTTGTTTATAATGTTAACGAGAAGCGGAGACCTCTTTGGGTATAATGTTAACGAAAAGCAGAGACCTTTTTGGTTATAATGTTAACGGAAGAAAAAAAAGGGAATTTAAGCAATGGTTATCATGTCGCCGAAACCTGGAGGTTGGGATACTTAAGCCCAATTTTCTTGTTTGTATTCTTCATTGCTTCTGTCAGAAAGCTTGCACCCTGAGACTGGTAGCCTTGATGCAGTACCGGGCTGTGTACCATGCAACTGTGTAATGGGCTGTAATGGGCTGTGTACCATGCAACTGTGTAATGGGCTGTAACGGACTGTAACGGGCTGTAATGGGCTGTAATGGGCTGTAATGGGATGTGTACCATGCAACTGTGTAATGGGCTGTAATGGGATGTAATGGGCTGTAATGGGATGTGTACCATGCAACTGTGTAATGGGCTGTAATGGGCTGTAATGGGATGTGTACCATGCAACTGTGTAATGGGCTGTAATGGGCTGAAATGGGCTGTAATGGGCTGTAATGGGCTGTAATGGGCTGTGTACCATGCACCTGTGCCTTGTATGCAAGAAATAAGGCTGGATACACACACCCAATTATCTCAAGACTCGCGTCAATGCTACTCTATAGAGGGACAATGTATTATTTTCAAACTAAAGCCAGAGCACAACAGACTTCATCATCTGACGTGTCCCTGCAGAAAATACTGACCATGTGCTACAACACTGCCAACTGTATGCTGCCTACCACAGAGACGCCATTTGGCCTGTCCCAACCATAATGAAGACAATGCTCTATGGTAAACGGAGAGATAATGGATCACATGATAGCTTTCGTGAAGGCTACCCGCCTCCTAACATCAGTTTTCTGACGCAAGGATCGAGAAGTCAGACTGAGGGACAGAAGTATGAGGTAAAAAGCTTGCAGTTCGTAATGGCGTTCTAGCCAGAAACGTCCAACAAATCATAAGAACTGGAAGGAAGATGACCAACAAATCATAAGAACTGGAAGGAAGATGACCAACAAATCATAAGAACTGGAAGGAAGATGACCAACAAATCATAAGAACTGGAAGGAAGATGACCAACAAATCATAAGAATTGGAAGGAAGATGATCAACAAATCATAAGAACTGGAAAGAAGATGACCAACAAATCATAAGAACTGGAAGGAAGAAGATCAACAAATCATAAGAACTGGAAGGAAGATGACCTACAAATCATAAGAACTGGAAGGAAGAAGATCAATCCCCACTGGAGCATGCCACGACATGCTTAAAGCAAGATTATACAAGACGGACGGACTCATATCACAATCACCATTACTATCACCATCATTATCGCTACCACTATCACTATCACTGGCACTATCACTATTACTATAATTATCACTACCACTCTAACCACGAATATCACCATCGCTATCACCATTACTACCACTATCTTTCACCATCACTATCACTATTACTACCACTATCTTTCACCATCACTATCACCATTACTACCACTATCTTTCACCATCACTATCACCATCACCATCACTATCACCATCACCATCACCATCACCATCACTATCACCATCACCATCACTATCACCATCACCATCACTATCACCATCACCATCACTATCACTCTCACTATCACTCTCACTATCACTCTCACTATCACTCTCACTATCACTCTCACTATCACTCTCACTATCACTCTCACTATCTCTCTAACTATCACTCTCACTATCACTCTCACTATCACTCTAACTATCACTCTCACTATCACTCTCACTATCTCTCTAACTATCACTCTCACTATCACTCTCACTATCTCTCTAACTATCACTCTCACTATCACTCTCACTATCACTCTAACTATCACTCTCACTATCACTCTCACTATCTCTCTAACTATCACTCTCACTATCACTCTAACTATCACTCTCACTATCACTCTAACTATCACTCTAACTGTCACTCTCACTTTCACTCTCACTATCACTCTCACTATCACTCTCACTATCACTCTCACTATCACTCTCACTATCACTCTCACTATCACTCTCACTATCACTCCCACTATCACTCTCACTATCACTCTCACTATCACTCTAACTTTTACTCTAACTATCACTCCCACTATCACTTTCACTATCACTCTCACTATCACTCTAATTATCACTCTCACTATCACTATCACTATCACTCTCACTATCACTCTCACTATCACTCTAACTATCACTCTCACTATCACTCTCACTCTCACTATCACTCTCACTATAACTCTCACCATCACTCTCACTATAACTCTCACCATCACTCTCACCATCACCATCACTCTCACCATCACCATCACTCTCACTATAACTCTCACCATCACTCTCACCATCACCATCACTCTCATTATCACTCTCACCATCACTCTCACCATCACTCTCACCATCACTCTCACCATCACTCTCACTCTCACCATCACTCTCACCATCACTCTCACCATCACTCTCACCATCACTCTCACCATCACTCTCACCATCACTCTCACCATCACTCTCACCATCACTCTCACCATCACTCTCACCATCACTCTCACCATCACTCTCACCATCACTCTCACCATCACTCTCACCATCACTCTCACTCTCACTCTCACCATCACTCTCACCATCACCCTCACCATCACTCTCACTATAGCTCTCACCATCACTATCACCATCACTCTCACCATCACTCTCACTATCACTCTCACTATAGCTCTCACCATCACTATCACCATCACTCTCACCATCACTCTCACTCTCACTATAACTCTCACCATCACTCTCACCATCACCATCACTCTCACTATAACTCTCACCATCACTCTCACCATCACCATCACTCTCACTATAACTCTAACCATCACTCTCACCATCAGCATCACCATCACTCTAACCATCACTCTCACCATCACTCTCAATATAACTCTCACCATCACTCTCAATATAACTCTCACCATCACTTTCACCATCACTCTCACTATAACTCTCACCATCACCATCACTCTCACTATAACTCTCACCATCACCATCACTCTCACTATAACTCTCACCATCACCATCACTCTCACTATAACTCTCACCATCACCATCACCATCACTCTCACCATCACCATCACTCTCACCATCACTCTCACCATCACTCTCACCATCACTTTCACCATCACTCTAACCATCACTCTCACCATCAGCATCACCATCACTCTAATCATCAATCTCACCATCACTCTCACCATCACCATCACTCTCACTATCACTCTCCCCATCACTCTCACCATCACTCTCACCATCACCATAACTTTCAACATCACTCTCAACATCACTCTTACCATCACACTCACCATCACTCTCACCATCACTATCACCGTCACTATCACCATCAATATCACCATTACTATCACTAATACTATCACCATCACTATCACCATCGTTTGCTTACTACAGTGCTGGGGTGTACCACAGACAAATTGAGACACTGTCTGGTAAGACTTATTTTAGCGGTGGGGTGTACCACACAAAAGTTGCAAGACAGTCTTGTATTATATACCACAGCAGTGGGGTGTACCACAGACAAGTTAAGAGCCTGTCTGAACTTACTTACCACAGCAGTGGGGTGTACCACAGACAAGTTAAGAGCCTGTCTGAACTTACTTACCACAGCAGTGGGGTGTACCACAGACAAGTTAAGAGCCTGTGTGAACTTACTTACCACAGCAGTGGGGTGTACCACAGCAGTCGGGTGAATGAAGACATCTCCGAGGACGATAGGCGAACCGGGTCTATTCTTGGCCAGGTAGTCGGGGTGTGACAAATGATAGGAGGCCAGGTAATGCCGATTGGCGTAAACTGCAGCACTGGGAGACAAAGATGGATATCAGTTTCTGAATCACTTCTACAGGCAGCGTCATAATATGGGACAAAGGCAGTGATTCTGAAGGGGTTACCAAGAGATCCCTTACTACTGGTTGGAAGAAGCTTGTCGAATGTGACTTTGAGGGGTTCGAGACAGTGCCTGTGGAACCTGTAGTCAACAAGATTGTGTCTTTGGTCACTATCATGGGATTGTAGGTGGATAAAGTTATATCGAAGAGCTTGTGGAAGAGCACAGCCAAGAGCTGACCACCGAAGAGCTTATGGAGTTGAATTGTGTTTCACAGCAAGAAGTTTTGGCAGAAAGTTTGTCAGAGGAGGAGGAGGTAATAGAAAAGCAACAATCTTCTGGCAAAATTAGAGAAATGTTGAAAGCATGGAAAAATGTTGTATCTTACATTGAGAAGTAACACCGTAATAAAAAAAAAAGTAGCTATGCGCGCTGCCTTTTTATTTACTGATAATGCTGTGTCGCATGTTTGCCAAAGTTTTGAGCGTCGGCAAAAACAAATGTCTCTGGACATCTTTCTAGTAAAAAAAATGTCTCTGGATATCTTTCTAGTAAAAAAAAAAATAACTAGCTATGTTTCATAATTATTTCGATTTTTTTTCTTCTGCAAATCTAATTTGCATTAAAGGTGGGTTCATTCTGCGTTTGAAGAAAAGATGAAAATGATTCACTCTCCTTAAAAATATGTGTGTAATTTTATTTGAATACACGTTATACATAGCATTTTGTGAGTTTTTGTTTTCGACATGGAACGTTTTATCGTATTTTACAGTAATTTATATGAGAAAAATTATTTCGCTTAACTAGTGTGATTCTGGAACGAATTATGCTCGTTAAGCGAGGTTTCACTGTAGTCGCCACACAAGGACCAACAAACACAAAGTCATCACATAAGGACCACACGACCACACAGTAATTACATAAGGACCCACAGATACAGTCACTACATAAGGATCACTCGACTAGACAGTCACTACATAAGGATCACTCGACTAGACAGTCACTACATAAGGATCACTCGACTAGACAGTCACTACATAAGGATCACTCGACTAGACAGTCACTACATAAGGATCACTCGACTAGACAGTCACTATATAAGGATCACTCGACTAGACAGTCACTACATAAGGACCACACGACTAGACAGTCACCACATAATGACCACATAGTCACCACATAATGACCACACAGTCACCACATAATGACCACATAGTCACCACATAATGACCACATAGTCACCACATAATGACCACACAGTCACCACATAATGACCACACAGTCACCACATAATGACCACAGTCACCACCTTATGACCACACAGTCACCACCTTATGACCACACAGTCACCACATAATGACCACACAGTCACCACATAATGACCACATAGTCACCACATAATGACCACACAGTCACCACATAATGACCACACAGTCACCACATAATGACCACAGTCACCACATAATGACCACACAGTCACCACATAATGACCACACAGTCACCACATAATGACCACAGTCACCACATAATGACCACAGTCACCACATAATGACCACACAGTCACCACATAATGACCACATAGTCACCACATAATGACCACACAGTCACCACATAATGACCACATAGTCACCACATAATGACCACATAGTCACCACATAATGACCACATAGTCACCACATAATGACCACACAGTCACCACATAATGACCACATAGTCACCACATAATGACCACATAGTCACCACATAATGACCACACAGTCACAACACAACGACCACATAGTCACCACACAATGACCATAGTCACCACATAATGACAACAGTCACAACACAACGACCACATAGTCACCACATAATGACCATAGTCACCACATAATGACAACAGTCACAACACAACGACCACATAGTCACCACATAATGACCACACAGTCACAACACAACGACCACACAACCACACAGTCACCACAAAAGGACTACACGACCACACTAACCACATAAGGACCACACAATCATCATATAAGGAAACTTGAACATGCAGTCACCACATAAGGATCATGCAGTCACCACATAAGGACCATACAGTCACCATATAAGGACCATGCAGTCACCACATAGGGATCATGCAGTCACCACATAGGGACCATGCAGTCACCACATAGGGACCATGCAGTCACCACATAGGGACCATGCAGTCACCACATAAGGACCATACAGTCATCACATAAGGACCATGCAGTCACCACATAAGGACCTTGCAGTCACCACATAAGGACCATGCAGTCACCACATAGGGACTTTGCAGTCACCTCATAGGGACCATGCAGTCACCACATAAGGACCATGCAGTCACCACATAGGGACCATGCAGTCACCACATAAGGACCATGCAGTCACCATATAAGGACCTTGCAGTAACCACATAAGGACCAAGCAGTCACCACGTAAGGACCATGCAGTCAACACCTAGGGACCATGCAGTCATCACATAAGGACCAAACAACAACATAGTCGTCACATAAGGACCACAGACCCCAAACAATCACTATATTTGGATCACTCGACCACATAGTCACCATATAATGACGATACACAGCATAGTGAACACATAAGGGCCAGACATTCATCACACAATGATCGAACACACCACACAGTCACAACATATTGACCACACACACACCACACAGTCACTACATCGGGACCACACAGTCACTATATCGGGACCATACAGTCACCACAAAATGACCACACACCACACATTCACAGCATAAGGACCACACAGTCACTACATAAGGACCATACACCCCACAGTCTCAACAAAACAACCACAAAGTCACCACACAAGGACCACACAGTCACCATACGACCACATAGTCAACACTAAAGGACACCACACCATTCAGTCACCATGTAAGGAGCACATACCACACAGTCACTTCACAACTCATGGTCACCATATAAAGAGCACACGATAACAACACAAGTGACCTTGGATTTACCTCACAGCACCACAGAAGACCCACACCGCCACAGAATGATGAGTCATAGACTACCCCGTGACCACACATTGACTACCCAGTGACCATACGTTGACTACCCAGTGACCACACGTTGACTACCCAGTGACCATACATTGACTACCCAGTGACCACACATTCACTACCCAGTGACCATACATTGACTACCCAGTGACCACACATTGACTACCCAGTGACCACACATTGACTACCCAGTGACCACACATTGACTACCCAGTGACCACACATTGACTACCCAGTGACCACACATTGACTACCCAGTGACGACACATTGACTATACAGTGGCCACACATTTACTACCCAGTTACCACACGTTGACCACCCATTACCACACATTGGACTACGATATCAGGACAGGCCTACCTTGCAGATTTGATCTGACTCCAGAACTGAGAAGTCAAGTACATAAACAGTGCCCCTGTGCCCGCTAAAGGCACCAGCAAGTCCTGCTGCAGGCACAGCACGCCACTTGATCGGGTCCGACAACTGCAAGAGACAACCACACGTAACTAGTTGCTCAAACATGCATGGAATCATCAAAAAACATTAGCTTCACACAGACAGAGACCACACAGATACGACAAGATAGAGACTACACACAAATATGACCAGATAAAGACTCCACCTAAACACGACCAAATAAAGCTTCCACACAAACACTACCAGATAGAGACTCCACACAAACACGACCAGACAAACTTCACATTAACACAATCAGATACTCAACATAAACACGCTCAGAGACTTGACACACACACATACACTATCAGACAGAGACTCGACAGAAACGCTATCAGAGACTCGACACACACACGATCAGAGACTCGACACACACACTATCAGAGACTCGACACATACAGTATCAGACAAAGACTCGGCACAAACACTATCAGAGACTCGACACAAACACTATCAGAGACTCGACACACACACGATCAGAGACTCGACACATACACGATCAGAGACTCGACACAAACACGATCAGAGACTCGACACAAACACGATCAGAGACTCGACACAAACACGATCAGAGACTCGACACAAACACGATCAGAGACTCGACACAAATGCAATCAGTGACTCGACACACACACGATCAGTGACTCGACACAAACACGATCAGAGACTCGACACAAACACGATCAGAGACTCGACACAAATGCAATCAGTGACTCGACACACACACGATCAGTGACTCGACACACACACGATCAGAGACTCGACACACACACGATCACATACTCGACACACACACGATCAGAGACTCGACACACACACACAATCAGAGACTCGACACAAACATGATCAGAGACTCGACACACACACACACAATCAGAGACTCGACACAAACAGGATCAGAGACTCGACACAAACACGATCAGAGACTCGACACAAACACGATCAGAGACTCGACACAAACACGATCAGAGACTCGACACACACACGATCAGAGACTCGACACACACACGATCAGAGACTCGACACACACACACACGATCAGAGACTCTACACATACACTATCAGACAGAGACTCGACACACACACACGATCAGAGACTCGACACATACACTATCAGACAGAGACTCGGCACAAACACTATCAGAGACTCGACACAAACACTATCAGAGACTCGACACACACACGATCAGAGACTCGACACAAACACGATCAGAGACTCGACACAAACACGATCAGAGACTCGACACACACACGATCAGAGACTCGACACAAACACGATCAGAGACTCGACACAAACACGATCAGAGACTCGACACACACGCGATCAGAGACTCGACACACACACCATCAGATACTCGACACACACACTATCAGATACTCAACACACACACTATCAGAGACTCGACACACACACGATCAGAGACTCGACACAAACACGATCAGAGACTCGACACAAACACGATCAGAGACTCGACACAAACACGATCAGAGACTCGACACACACACCATCAGAGACTCGACACAAAGACGATCAGAGACTCGACACAAACACGATCAGAGACTCGACACACACACCATCAGATACTCGACACAAACACGATCAGAGACTCGACACAAACACGATCAGAGACTCGACACACACGCGATCAGAGACTCGACACAAACACGATCAGAGACTCGACACAAACACGATCAGAGACTCGACACAAACACGATCAGAGACTCGACACAAACACGATCAGAGACTCGACACACACACACACTATCAGAGACTCGACACACACACCATCAGAGACTCGACACAAACACGATCAGAGACTCGACACAAACACGATCAGAGACTCGACACAAACACGATCAGAGACTCGACACAAACACGATCAGAGACTCGACACACACGCGATCTAAGGCCGTCTTTAGTATGGGTAAAGCAACAACTTCAGCCAGCTGGAGTGCGTGGCTAACTCACGTATAGTTTTTCATGAATTGTGGACCTACGATTTGTACGTGTTTAGTTACCTTGCTTTAGACTGACATCTTTGAAATAGGCTGTTGCAAGTGTTACATGTTTTTAACTGTGCCTGCGAAATGTTCTGTACCTGAATGTAGATCGAATTATGATGCTTTAAGTTGATATTGAGAACATATATGTGTGGGTGTTTGTGTGTAAACAAAGAACTAAGAACAAAGAATGAGGATAGGACAGAGAAAAAAAAAAAGGGACAAACCAACGAAGAAATGGCCTGAATATGTTGGTCTGAGATGCGAGAAAACATTTCCTAGCTGAATGCTTAGTTGCCCGGTCTAGGACGGTGGGCTACCTAATGTCTGTGCTCTGTGTCGCTGCTAACGTATCTATGTAATCATATGTTCAACGATATTTAGCCACATGGATTGACATCCGGTCTACTATATAGTGGGTCGCCAGTGTATGAGACGCCTGTGTGACGAATTGCAAGGTAGTCAGTAGTCAGTCAATATCTTACTCCTATATTGAGTATGTCCATAACAACATGTAATTATCGGCCTTGTCTAGTGAGGATACAATCGATCGTGTGATTGATGGCTCAGCCACTAAACAACTTGAACCTTTCGAAGCTTGGTAGCAGCTGAGCCACACGCCAGATATTGACACCTATTGACAACCACAACACCTGTAATAAATGTCACTACAGCAGGAAATCACAGCTCGAATCTTCAACCCAAGTAGCAGACAGGTGAACACAAGTCAACACACACACAAGTAGCAGACAGGTGAACACAAGTCAACACACACACAAGTAGCAGACAGGTAAACACAAGTCAACACACACACACAAGTAGCAAACAGGTGTACACAAGTCAACACACACACAAGTAGCAGACAGGTGAACACAAGTCAACACACACACAAGTAGCAAACAGGTGAACACAAGTCAACACACACACACAAGTAGCAAACAGGTGAACACAAGTCAACACACACACACAAGTACCAAACAGGTGAGCACAAGTCAACACACACACAAGTACCAAACAGGTGAGCACAAGTCAACACACACACAAGTATCAAACAGGTGAACACAAGTCAACACACACACAAGTACCAAACAGGTGAGCACAAGTCAACACACACACAAGTACCAAACAGGTGAGCACAAGTCAACACACACACAAGTACCAAACAGGTGAGCACAAGTCAACACACACACAAGTACCAAACAGGTGAACACAAGTCAACACACACACAAGTACCAAACAGGTGAGCACAAGTCAACACACACACAAGTACCAAACAGGTGAGCACAAGTCAACACACACACAAGTACCAAACAGGTGAGCACAAGTCAACACACACACAAGTACCAAACAGATGAGCACAAGTCAACACACACACAAGTACCAAACAGGTGAGCACAAGTCAACACACACACAAGTAGCAAACAGGTGAACACAAGTCAACACACACACAAGTAGCAAACAGGTGAACACAAGTCAACACACACACAAGTAGCAAACAGGTGAACACAAGTCAACACACACACACAAGTAGCAAACAGGTGAACACAAGTCAACACACACACAAGTAGCAAACAGGTAAACACAAGTCAACACACACACACAAGTAGCAGACAGGTGAACACAGGTCAACACACTCACAAGTAGCAAACAGGTGAACACAAGTCAACACACACACACAAGTAGCAGACAGGTGAGCACAGGTCAACACACACACAAGTAGCAAACAGATGAACACAAGTCAACACACACACGTAGCAGACAGGCGAACACAAGTCAACACACACACACACACAAGTAGCAGACAGGTGAGCACAAGTCAACACACACACACACAAGTAGCAGACAGGTGAACACAAACACTCACACCCACACACATACACACACACACACAAGAACAACACACTGACAGGCCGGATAGCCTAGTGCTGACGTCACTCACTGGAAGTTTTTCTCTAGGCGTTTCTTGCAAGCCACCTCCAGCGTCTTCAGGATAGCGGGTGAGAAGAGGTAGACGCCACAGTTGATGGTAGAGCTGACGAATGTTTCTGGTCTTTCCACATAATGCAGAATCTGTAAGATGACACCAGACACGACATCTGTAAGGCGACAAGTCATCTAGAGTTTCTGGGTACACGTCATAAAGTATTTCTGGGGGACACGTCATCTAGTATTTCTGGGGGACATGTCATCTAGTATTTCTGGGGGAAATGTTATCTAGTATATCTGGGTGACACGTCATCTAGTATTTCTGGGGACACGTCATCTAGTATTTCTGGGGGACACGTCATCTTGCATTTCTGGGAGACACGTCATCTAGTATTTCTGGGGACATGTCATCTAGTATTTCTGGGGGACACGTAATCTAGTATTTCTTTGGGACACGTCATCTAGTATTTCTGGGGGACACGTCATCTAGTATTTCTGGGGACATGTCATCTAGTATTTCTGGGGGACACGTCATCTTGCATTTCTGGGTGACACGTCATCTAGTATTTCTGGGGACACGTCATCTAGTATTTCTGGGGACATGTCATCTAGTATTTCTAGGGGATATGTCATCTAGTATTTCTGGGGGATATGTCATCTAGTATTTCTGGGGGACATGTTATCTAGTATTTCTGGGGGACACGTCATCTAGTATTTATGGGGGATATGTCATAAAGTATTTCAGGGGGATATGTCATCTAGTATTTCTCGGGGACACGTCATCTAGTATTTCTGGGGCACACGTCATCTAGTATTTCTGGGGGATATGTCATCTAGTATTTCTGGGGGACATGTCATGTAGTATTTCTGGGGGACACGTCATATAGTATTTCTGGGGGACACGTCATCTAGTATTTCTGGGGGACGTGTCATCTAGTATTTCTGGGGGACATGTCATCTAGTATTTATGCGGACATGTCATCTAGTATTTCTGGGGGACACGTCATCTAGTATTTCTGGGGGACACTTCATCTAGTATTTCTGGGGGACACGTCATCTAGTATTTCTGGGGGACACGTCATCTAGTATTTCTGGGGGACACGTCATCTAGTATTTCTGGGGGACATGTCATCTAGTATTTATGCGGACATGTCATCTAGTATTTCTGGGGGACACGTCATCTAGTATTTCTGGGGGACATGTCATCTAGTATTTATGCGTATATGTCGTCTAGTAAATCTGGGGACATGTCATATAATATTTTAGGGACATGTCATCTGGTATTTCTAGGCGATATGTCCGCTAGAATTTTTGGGTGATATGCCGGTTAGAATTTCTGGGTGATATGCCGGTTAGAATTTCTGGGTGATATGCCGGTTAGAATTTCTGGGTGATATGCCGGTTAGAATTTATGGGTGATATGCCGGTTAGAATTTCTGGGTGACACGTCATCTAGTATTTCTGGGGGATATGCCATCTAGTATTTATGGGGGACATGCCATCTAGTATTTCTGGGGGACATGTCATTTTTATTTCTGGGGGGATATGCCATCTAGTATTTCTTTGGGACATGCCATCTAGTATTTCTGGGGGACATGCCATCTAGTATTTCTGGGGGGCATGCCATCTAGTATTTCTAGGGGAAATGCCATCTAGTATTTCTGGGGAACATTCCATCTAGTATTTCTGGGGACATGTCATCTAGTATTTCTGGGGACATGACATCTAGTATATCTGGGGACATGTCATAAAGTATTTATGGGGCACACGCCATCTAGTATTTCTGGGGGACATGCCATCTAGTATTTATGCGGACATGTCATCTAGTATTTCTGGGTGACATGAAATCTTGTATTTCTGGGGACATTTCATCAAGTATTTATGCGTATATGTCGTCTAGTAATTCTAGGGACATGTCATATGGTATTTTAGGGACATGTCATCTGGTATTTCTGGGCGATATGTCATCTAGTATTTCTAAGTGACTTTTCCTCTGGTATCTGAAATGTGACATGTCATCACGTATCTGTAATATGACATGTCCTTAAGTATCTGTAATGTGACATTTCCTTTAGTATCTGTAATGTGACATGTTCTGAAGTATCTGTAATGTGTCTGTAATTTCTGGTATCAGAAATGTGATATGTCATCACGTATCTGTAATGTGACATGTCCTTAAGTATCTGTAATGTGACATGTCCTCTAGTATCTGTAATGTGACATGTTCTGTAGTATCTGTAATGTGTCTGTAATTTCTGGTATCAGAAATGTGACATGTCATCACGTATCTGTAATATGACATGTCCTTAAGTATCTGTAATGTGACATGTCCTCTAGTATTTGTTATGTGAATGTAATGAGTATAATAAATGTGACTTGTCCTTTTGTATCTGTGATGTAACATGTCCTCTGGTGTCTGTAATGTGGCATGACCTTTAGTATCTGTAATGTGTCATGTTCTCTAGCATCTGTAATGTGACATGTCCTCTAGTATCTGTAATGTGACATGTTCTGTAGTATCTGTAATGTGACATGTTCTGTAGTATCTGTAATGTGACATGTTCTGTAGTATCTGTAATGTGACATGTTCTGTAGTATCTGTAATGTGACATGTTCTGTAGTATCTGTAATGTGACATGTTCTGTAGTATCTGTAATGTGACATGTTCTGTAGTATCTGTAATGTGACATGTTCTGTAGTATCTGTAATGTGACATGTCCTCTAGTTTCTGTAATGTGTCATGTCCTCTAGTATCTGTAATGTGACATGTTCTGTAGTATCTGTAATGTGACATGTCCTCTAGTATCTGTAATGTGACATGTTCTGTAGTATCTGTAATGTGACATGTTCTGTAGTATCTGTAATATGACATGTCCTCTAGTATCTGTAATGTGACATGTCCTCTATTATCTGTAATGTGACATGTCCTCTAGTATCTGTAATATGACATGTCCTCTAGTATCTGTAATGTGAAATGTCCTCTATTATCTGTAATGTGACATGTCCTCTATTATCTGTAATGTGACATGTCCTCTATTATCTTAATGTGACATGTCCTCTATTATCTTTAATGTGACATGTCCTCTATTATCTGTAATATGACATGTCCTCTAGTATCTGTAATGCGACATGTCCTCTATTATCTGTAATATGAAATGTCCTCTTTTATCTGTAATATGACATGTCCTCTATTATCTGTGATATGAAATGTCCTCTAGTATCTGTAATGTGTCATGTCCTCTATTATCTGTAATATGACATGTCCTCTAGTATCTGTAATATGACATGTCCTCTATTATCTGTAATGTGATGTCCTCTATTATCTGTAATGTGACATGTCCTCTATTATCTGTAATGTGACATGTCCTCTAGTATCTGTAATGTGTCATGTCCTCTATTATCTGTAATATGACATGTCGTCTATTATCTGTAATATGACATGTCCTCTATTATCTGTAATGTGACATATCATCTATTATCTGTAATGTGACATGTCCTCTATTATCTGTAATGTGACATGTCCTCTAGTATCTGTAATGTTACATGTCCTCTAGTATCTGTAATGTGACATGTCCTCTAGTATCTGTAATGTGTCATGTTCTCTATTATCTGTAATATGACATTCCTCTATTATCTGTAATGTGACATGTCCTCTATTATCTGTAATATGACATGTCCTCTATTATCTGTAATGTGACATGTCCTCTATTATCTGTAATGTGTCATGCCTCTTTTATCTGTAATGTGTCATGTCCTCTATTATCTGTAATGTGACATGTCCTCTATTGTCTGTAATGTGTCATGTCCTCTATTGTCTGTAATGTGACATGTCCTCTAGTATCTGTAATGTGACATGTCCTCTAGTATCTGTAATGTGACATGTCCTCTAGTATCTGTAATGTGACATGTCCTCTATTTTCTGTAATGTGACATGTCCTCTATTATATGTAATGTGACATGTCCGCTAGTATCTGTAATGTGACACGTCCTCAAGTAGAGTGTTCCTCAACCTGTCTACACTCCCGGCCCACTCAAACAGACAACATTGTGTGGCGGTCTACTCAAACAGACAACATTGTGTGGCGGTCTACTCAAACAGACAACATGTGTGGCGGTCTACTCAAACAGACAACATTGTGTGGCGGTCTACTCAAACAGACAACATTGTGTGGCGGTCTACTAAAAACAGACAACATTGTGTGGCGGTCTACTCAAACAGACAACATTGTGTAGGGGTCCACTCAAACAGACAACATGTGTGGCGGTCTACTCAAACAGACAACATTGTTTGGCGTTCTACTCAAACAGACAACATTGTATGGAGGTCTACTTAAACAGGCAACATTGCCTTGCGGTCTACTCGACCATACACAGAAACAAAAAACAAATGTAGGGCCAGTCTTTGCATTAATTCCGAGCTCACAAAATTACAAAAATCCACTAATGCGACATCTGCTGCTAATGGTTTGAAGAATCTTGTATACGTGACTAGAGTGTTGTTTTAATAGAGGAAGCACTGTCGTAACATGTATCACATTTTTCTGTTTGCTTTTTATTACTGGCATGACTGTGAAAGTCGTTTCCCACATACAGGAAAGTTGATCAACAATTCGATTGCTCTGTAACTCAGAGAGGAATATTCTCGTCATGACTAGTCGGAACCGGTTTTCGCGGTACCCACTAGTGTGGATGATGTTACTGACAGCAAATGCGGGTAAGTCACTCAACACAACACAACTTACCAAAACACAACACAACATAATACAATACACCACAACACAGCACACCAGAAGATAACACAGCATAACACAACACACAACAAAAGAAAACAACACACCATAGAAGAAAACAATACACAACAACACATGAACCAAAATCTAGCGCAACACACTACAACACATCACAGTAAAACATACTACAACAGACTACAATACAACACAATACACTATAAACACAATAATAACAGAACACAACACAACATAACAACAAAGCACAACATAACAGAACAAAATACAACATAAAAAGGGACTAGAAAATTTAACACGGGTAAGGAAAGAACCAAAGATCTGAATTTCTTCACCATCATGCGTTGGTGATCATGCGTTTCCACAACTTGCGATCTTCACCATCAAACGTTGGTGATCATGCGTTTCCACAACTTGCGATCTTCACCATCAAACGTTGGTGATCATGCGTTTCCACAACTTGCGATCTTCACCGTCAAACGTTGGTGATCATGCGTTTCCACAACTTGCGATCTTCACCATCAAACGTTGGTGATCATGCGTCTCCACAACTTGCGACCTTCACCGTCAAACGTTGGTGATCATGCGTTTCCACAACTTGCGATCTTCACCGTCAAACGTTGGTGATCATGCGTTTCCACAACTTGCGAACTTCACCATCAAACGTTGGTGATCATGCGTTTCCACAACTTGCGATCTTCACCGTCAAACGTTGGTGATCATGCGTTTCCACAACTTGCGATCTTCACCGTCAAACGTTGGTGATCAAGCGTTTCCACAACTTGCGAACTTCACCATCAAACGTTGGTGATCATGCGTTTCCACAACTTGCGATCTTCACCGTCAAACGTTGGTGACCATGCGTTTCCACAACTTGCGATCTTCACCGTCAAACGTTGGTGATCATGCGTTTCCACAACTTGCGATCTTCAACAGGATGCATCCGATCTTGCGTCGACATTGCCCTGCCGAAACTCTGTCAAAAATCTGTTCGGGTTGTTTTACTCTGTCTTTTTTCCAAAGATGTAGTAACAAGTTCCAGATTTTTTTTTACAGCACCAGACGTTACAGTTTGTGATATGTTCGCTCATGAAAGTAACAATTTGATACATCATGATAACATGAAATATATTTCCACGTGAGAAAATGTGATATATTCGCACACGAAAGTAACAATTTGCTACATCATGAGAACATGAAATATATTTCCCCGTGACAAACTGTGATATATTCGCAAAACAAACGTGACATCATGTTATATATTCATGAAACAAATGAGACAACATATCATATGTTCGCATAATAAATGAGACAACATGTCATATATTCCCATAATAAATGAGAGATCATGTCATATATTCCAACAACATAGGGTAAATTTGTGATATATTGTCACAATAAAAGTGACACGTGATACATTCCCACAACAAATAGGAGAACATGTGATATATTTTTACAACAAATGGGAAAATGTGTGATATTTTCCCATAACAAACGGGACAGCACGTGATATATATTCCCACAATAAACGTGACAACATATGGTATATTCTCACAACGAAGGTAGCACCATGTGATATATTCCCACAACAAACGGGAAAATGTGGAATATATTCTTACAACGAATAGGACACCATGTGATATATTCCCACTACAAACGTGACAGCAAATGATATATTCCTATAACAAACGTGACAGCATATGATATATTCCTATAACAAGCGTGACAACATGTGATATATTCCTATAACAAGCGTGACAGCATATGATATATTCCTATAACAAGCGTGACAGCATATGATATATTCCTATAACAAGCGTGACAACATGTGATATATTCTAACAACAAAAAGACTATTTGCTATATCGTGAGAATATGTGATATATTCCCACAACAACCTTGACAACGTGTGACAGATTGCCACAATAATTTCGACAACGTGTGACAGATTGCCACAATAAACTCGACAATTTAATATATTTCCTCAACAAAGTGGACAACCTGTGATATATTCCCACAACAAATGTGACAACCTGTGATATATTCCCACAACAAATGTGACAACATGTGATGTACAAATTCCAACAATAAACTAAAGAGTAGGTGATACATTTCACAACAATTTTGACAAGCGATACACAAACGTCACACACACACCTACCCTCACACACCCACCCTCACACACCCACCCTCACACACCGTAGAGAGTGATTAGATTACCTCATGCGTGTCCTTATCTTCAACCACACACCCGTAGCTGCGAGACTGCTGTCTGGTTGCCTAGATACACAGACCAAAACAACAACCAGCTTTAATTCCATTATGCCCGTGAAAACATTGTAAGGTGAACTACTGCTGCTTTAACTACTGCTGCTTTAACTACTGCTGCTACTACTTTCGTTACTACTGCTGTTTCTGCTGCTTCTGCTGCTCCTCCTGCTGCTGCTACTGCTACTGCTACTGCTACAGCTACTTCTACTACGACTACTACTGCTACTGCTACTACTGCTACTGCTACTACTAATACTACTACTACTACTACTACTACTACTACTACTACTACTACTACTACTACTACTACTACTACTACTACTACTACTACTACTACTACTACTACTACTACTACCACCACTGCTGCTACTGCTACTGCTAGTGCTACTGCTCTTTCCACTACTGCTGCTGCTATTACTACTGTTGCCGATGCTACCACTACTAATACTGTTCACGAGAACTAAAACTACTAATAATTAGTACTACTACTGCTGCTGATCCTGCCGCTACTACTACTACTACTACTACTACTACTACTACTACTACTACTACTACTACTACTACTACTACTACTACTACTACTACTACTACTACTACTACTACTACTACTACTACTACTTCTACTACTACTACTACTACTAGAACGTTGCAGAACCAACTCCAGCATTTGTTGGCTGTCTGAGATTTTTCTAGGCAAATTTAAGTCCAGTAGTTTGCCATTGCTTTCTGGACGGTTGGCTTCTCGCTATTACTATAGAAACCAACGCAAGGCCTGCAGCTGGGATCGAACCCGGCACACGGGCATTACGAAGCGCGTTCGCAACGCCTAAGCCACAGACGCCAACTAATATTATTACTACTACTAAATAATACTACTACCATTGCCACTGATTACTAATGATACTGTTACTACTATGACAACAACTATTACTACAACAACAACTACAACAAGTACTAATGCCACTACTGCTACTACCATTACTACCATCAAAGCTACGACTACTAGCACTACTACTACCACCACCATCACTTCTACTGCTACGACTACTACAAACACCACCACCACCACCACTACTAACACTACTTCTACCATTACTATTACTACAACTATGACTACTGCTAATGATTAATAATTTTACCATTGCTGCTGCTGCTACTACTACTGCTACTATTACTACTACTAACTGACAGACAGACACTTGCAGCACACAGAGTTCTGTACAATTATCCCTTATAACACACATAGATCTGAGAGAGGGACAACTGTAGCACACATATAAATCTAACAGAAGGACAGCTGTTGCACACATATAGATCTGATAGAGGGACAGCTGTAGCACACATATAGATCTGACTGAAGGACAGCTGCAGCACACATATAGATCTGACAGAAGGACAGCTGCAGCACACATATAGATCCGACAGAGGGACACCTGTAGCACACATATAAATCTGACAGAGGGACACCTGTTGCACACATATAGATCTGACAGAAGGACAGCTGTAGCACACATATAGATCTGATAGAGGGACAGCTGTAGCACACATGTAGATCTGATAGAGGGACAGCTGTTGCACACATGTAGATCTGATAGAGGGACAGCTGTTGCACACATATAGATCTGACAGAGGGACAGCTGTAGCACACATATAGATCTGACAGAGGAAAAGCTGTAGCACAATTTAGATCTGACAGTGCCCAAAATCGACAGACAGTCTCAGACTAACCTCAGTACACAAATGCGACAGACAGTCTCAGACTAACCTCAGTACCCAAAACTGACAAACAGTCTCTGACTAACCTCAGTACCCAAAACTGACAGTCTCAGACTAACCTCATTGCCTAAAACCGACAGACAGTCTAGACTAACCTCAAAACTCAAAACTGACAGTCTCAGACTAATCCAGTACCCAAAACTAACAGACAGTCTCAGACTAATCCAGTACCCAAAACTGACAGACAGTCTTAGACTAACCTCAGTGCCCAAAACTAACAGACAATCTCTTGCTAACCTCAGTGCCCAAAACTGACAGTCTCAGATTAACCTCATTGCCCAAAACCGACAGACAGTCTCAGACTAACCTCACTGCCCAAAACTTACAGACAATCTCAGGCTAACCTCAGTGCCCAAAACTGACAGTCTCAGATTAACCTCACTGCCCAAAACTGACAGACAGTCTCAGACTAACCTCAGTACCCTTAACCGACAGACAGTCTCAGATTAACCTCAGTGTCCAAAACTGACAGACAGTCTCAGATTAACCTCAGTGCCCAAAACTGACAGACAGTCTCAGATTAACTTCATTGTCCAAAACTGACAGACAGTCTCAGACTAACCTCATTGCCCAAAACAGACAGACAGTCTCAGACTAACCTCATTGCCCAAAACTGACAGACAGTCTCAGACTAACCTCATTGCCCAAAACTGACAGACAGTCTCAGACTAGCCTCATTGCCCAACACTGCAGACAGTCTCAGATTAACCTCATTGCACAAAACTGACAGACAGTCTCAGACTAATCTCAGTACACAAATGCGACAGACAGTCTCAGACTAACCTCAGTACCCAAAACTGACAGACAGTCTCTGACTAACCTCAGTACCCAAAACTGACAGTCTCAGACTAACCTCAATGCCTAAAACCGACAGACAGTCTCAGACTAACCTCAGAACTCAAAACTGACAGTCTCAGACTAACTTCAGTTCCCAACACCGACAGAGAGTCTTAGACTAACCTCAGTACTCAAAACCGACAGTCTCAGACTAATCCAGTACCCAAAACTGACAGACAGTCTTAAACTAACCTCAGTGCCCAAAACAGACAATATCTGGCTAACCTCAATGCCCAAAACTGACAGTCTCAGATTAACCTCATTGCCCAAAACCGACAGACAGTCTCAGACTAACCTCACTGCCCAAAACTAACAGACAATCTCAGATTAACCTCACTGCCCAGAGCTGACAGACAGTCTCAGACTAACCTCAGTGCCCAGCACGATGCCCTGAGCTTGTGGTGCCCGCTGTCTATGAAATGTCAACATCTCCAGCAAGGGGAAATCACCACAGACATCGGCGTAGAGCACAAAGAACAAGCTAGGGTTGCCCGTGAGGATCTGGTCGCGGAAGTGGTAGATGCCTCCGGCTGTCCCCAGGGCCGTGTATTCCTGCAGGTATCTGTGGCAGACATCAGAGGCTAGAGCAAGTCAGAGTCTTGCTGTTCGATGCCAAACTCAACTGGTCCATGAGTTCAGCACCCCACGTTGTTTTTACATGATAACATTTAGTTACTATACAATCAGTCGAGCTACATTTACATGATAACATTTAGTTATTGTACAATCAGTCAAGTAACATTTACATAATAACATTTAGTTACTGTACAATCAGTCGAGCAACATTTACATAATAACATTTAGTTACTGTACAATCAGTCGAGCAACATTGTCTTCTAATTAGGTTCACAGACACACACAACCACCAACCCACCCCCACACACACAAAAATACACACAAACACACACACACACAATGACACACACACAATCTCACACATACAATCACACACAATCACACACACATTCACAAACACAATCACACACACAATCACACACAATCACACACATACACACAACCACACATACAATCACACACACAAAATCACACACACATTCACACACACAATCACACACACAATCACACACACAATCACACACACACACACAAACAATCACACACACACAAACAATCACACACACATACAATCACACACAGATACACACAAACCCACACAATCACACACACACAATCTCACACACACAATCACACACACAATCACAAACACAACCGCACACACAATCACACACATAATCTCACACACACAATCACACACACAATCACAGACACACACTCACACACACAATCACACACATAATCACACACGCACAAACAATCACACACAGACAATCACACACATACACACACATACACACACAAACACACACAATCACACACACATACAATAACACACACAAAATCACACATAACACAAAATTACGCACACAATTTAACACACACAATCACACACACAAACACACACAATCACACACCCTCAAGCACAATCATCCACAATCACTCACAAACACACACAATCACACACAATCCCACACAATCACACACAACTACACTCAATCACACACAATCACACACAAGCACACGCCACACAATCACACACACACACATACACAAATGTGTAAGTAGAGTGGTCATGGTGGGACAGATGTGTGTATGTAGAGTATTCATGGTGAGACAGATGTGTGTATGTAATGTGTTCCTGGTGAGACAGATGTGTGTATGTAGTGTGTTCATGGTGAGACAGATGTGTGTATGTAATGTGTTCATGGTGAGACAGATGTGTGTATGTAATGTGTTCCTGGTGAGACAGATGTGTGTATGTAATGTGTTCCTGGTGAGACAGATGTGTGTATGTAATGTGTTCCTGGTGAGACAGATGTGTGTATGTAATGTGTTCATGGTGAAACAGATGTATGTATGTAGTGTGGTCATGGTGAGACAGATGTGTGTATGTAGTGTGTTCATGGTGGGACAGATGTATGTATGTAGTGTGGTCACGGTGAGACAGATGTGTGTATGTAGTGTGTTCATGGTGAGACAGATGTGTGTATGTAGTGTGTTCATGGTGAGACAGATGTGTGTATGTAGTGTGTTCAGGGTGAGACAGATTTATGTATGTAGTGTGTTCATGGTGAGACAGATGTGTGTATGTAGTGTGTTCAGGGTGAGACAGATGTGTGTAAGTAGAGTGGTCATGGTGAGACAGATGTGTGTATGTAGTGTGTTCATGGTGAGACAGATGTGTGTATGTAGTGTGTTCAGGGTGAGACAGATTTATGTATGTAGTGTGTTCATGGTGAGACAGATGTGTGTATGTAGTGTGTTTATGGTGAGACAGATGTGTGTATATAGTGTGTTCAGGGTGAGACAGATGTATGTATGTAGTGTGTTCATGGTGTGACAGATGTGTGTATGTAGTGAGTTCATGGTGAAGCAGATGTGTGTATGTAGTGTGTTCATGGTGAGACAGATGTATGTATGTAGTGTGGTCATGGTGAGACAGATGTGTGTATGTAGTGTGTTCATGGTGGGACAGATGTATGTATGTAGTGTGGTCATGGTGAGACAGATGTGTGTATGTAGTGTGTTCATGGTGAGACAGATGTGTGTATGTAGTGTGTTCATGGTAAGACAGATGTGTGTATGTAGTGTGTTCATGGTGAGATAGATGTGTGTATGTAGTGTGGTCATGGTGAGACAGATGTGTGTATGTAGTGTGGTCATGGTGAGACAGATGTGTGTATGTAGAGTGTTCATGGTGAGACAGATGTGTGTATATAGTGTTTCATGGTGAGACAGATTTATGTATGTAGTGTGGTCATGGTGAGACAGATGTGTGTATGTAGTGTGTTCATGGTGAGACAGATGTGTGTATGTAGTGTGTTCAATGTGAGACAGATGTATGTATGTGTTTAGGGTGAGACAGATGTATGTAAGTAGAGTGGTCATGGTGAGACAGATTTGTGTAAGTAGAGTGGTCATGGTGAGACAGATTATTGTAAGTAGAGTGGTCATGGTGAGACAGATTTGTGTAAGTAGAGTGGTCATGGTGAGACAGATTTGTGTAAGTAGAGTGGTCATGGTGAGACAGATTTGTGTAAGTAGAGTGGTCATGGTGAGACAGATTTGTTAGTAGAGTTGTCATGATGAGACAGATGTGTATATGTAGAGTGGTCATGGTGAGAAAGATGTGTGTATGAAGAGTGTCAGGATAAGACAGGTTTGTGTATGTATAGAGGGTAAGGTGAGACAGCTGTGTGTATGTAGAGTGGTCATGGTGAGTCAGATGTGTGTATAAGGAGTGGTTATGGTGAAACAGCTGTCTTTACAGAGTGGGTGATGTGGGACAGCTATGAGTGTGTAGGGCGCCTGAAGTGGGACAGCTATGCGTACGTAAGGTTTGTAAGATGGAACATATGTGTGTGTGTGCAGATGGGTAAGATGAGACATATATTTGTAAGTAAAGTGTGTAAAGTGGGAAAGGAATAAGCAGCGTAAAATGAGACAGCTGTGTGTATGTAGAGTGGGTGAGATGAGGCAGTTCTGTATATGTAGAGTGTGTAAGATGAGAGGGATGTGTGTATGTAGAGTGGGTATGATAAGACAGCTGTGTGTATGTAGAGTGGGTAAGATGAGAGGGATGTGTGTATGTAGAGTGGGTAAGATGAGAGGGATGTGTGTATGTAGAGTGGGTAAGATGAGACAGCTGTGTGTATGTAGAGTGGGTACGATGAGACAGCTATATTTATGTAGAGTGGGTAAGATAAGACAGCTGTGTGTATGTAGAGTGGGTAAGATAAGACAACTGTGTGTATGTAGAGTGGGTAAGATGAGAGGGATGTGTGTATGTAGAGTGGGTAAGATGAGACAGCTGTGTGTATGTAGAGTGGGTATGATAAGACAGCTGTGTGTATGTAGAGTGGGTACGATGAGACAGCTGTGTTTATGTAGAGTGGGTAAGATAAGACAGCTGTGTGTATGTAGAGTGGGTACGATGAGACAGCTGTGTGTATGTAGAGTGGGTAAACTGGAACAGGAATTACCTAATCTGGACGTGAAACTCCAGCTGGGAGTCGTTGAGAAACTTCCTAATGACGTCGCTGGGCTGGTAGAATCCGATGATAAGGATTTCAGTCAAGTCTGGGATCTGGGAAAATTCCACATCCGATCAGCGTGGATAACTCGGATAAGTGTGGATAACATGTGATCAGTGTGGATAACATGGGATCAAAGTGGATAACATGAGATAAAGTGGATAGCATGAGATCAGAGTGGATAACATGACATTAGTGTGGATAATGGGGGATCAGCGTCGATAACGGGGATGGGGGTGGGGCGGGGGTTGTGTTATTTAGGCAATGATGCCCAGTTAACCTATGCTGAACAAAAAAGCAATGATGCACAACAGGTCAATGATAAACAACTGGTCAATGATACACAACTAGACAATGATGCACAACAGAGCAATGATAAAAACTAGGCAATGATACACAACTAGGCAACAATGCACAACTAGACAATGATCCACAACTAGACAATGATACACAACTAGGCAATGATACACAACAAGGCAATGATACACAACTAGGCAATGATACACAACAATAGAGAACAAAGGCATTAAACAGGCATCTGAGTTTAAAAATCTGGGAACTACATTTACCGAAGATGGGAAATTGGATAAAGAAATTACCATTAGATGCAGTAAAGCAAACCAAGTATTGGGACAGCTAGCCCCCCTCTTACAGTATAAGACAATCCCAATCAGCACAAAGAGACATCTTATTCAAAGCATATTTATTCCAACTCTGTGCTACCAGTGCCAGACATGGTCAGTCACAACAAACCATAAAAGAAACTTAGTAACCATAGAAATGAGATGTCTCAGAAGGGCTGTAGGAGTGACCATAAGAGATAAGATCAGGAATGAGATCATAAGAGAACAAGTCGGCACAGAACCAATTCTGGATTAGATACCAAGACAGCAAGTGAAATGGTTTGCCCACTTAAAGAGAATGCCTTGTGACACCATACCATACAAAGCATACATGGAAAGAGAAGAAGGACGTAGAGCACGGGGTAGACCAAGAATAATATGGAAGGATAACATCAGAGAAACTCTACAACAGCACGATGTGCCTATGGTCGAGGCAGCCAGAAGAGCCAGAAACAGAACCTTATATCTCCCTCGACACCCACATCGGTAAACGAGGAAGTGAAGAAGAAGAAGAAGAAGAAGGCAATGATACACAACTATGAAGTGATACACAACTAGGCAATGATACACAACTAGGCACTGATGCACAACTAGGAAGTGATACACAACTAGGTAGTGATGCAGAACTAGGCAATGATACACAAGTAAGTAATGATACACAAATATACAATGATATACACATATGCAAGTATACACCATTAGGCAATGATACATAGCTAGGCAATAATGCACAACAATGCAATGATATGCAACTAGGCAATGATGACCAACTAGGTAGTGATACACAACTAGGCAATGATACACAACTAGGCAATGATGCTCAACTAGGCAATGATACACAACTAGGCAATGATACACAGCTCAGCAATTTTATACAACTTGACAATGATGAACTACTAGGCAATGATATACAACTAGGCATTGATACACAACTAGGCAATGATACACAACTAGGCAATGATACACGACTAGGTAGTGATGCACAGCTATGCAATGATACACAGCTAAGCAATGATACACAACTAGGCAATGATGCACAACTAGGCAATGGTACACAACTAAGCATTGACTAGGCACTGATGCACAACTAGGCAATGATACACAAATAGTTAGTAATACACAACCAGGCAATGATATACAACTAGGTAATGATACACAACTAGGCAATAATACACAACTAGGCAATGATACACAACTAGGCAATGATGCACAACTAGGCAATGATACACAACTAGGCAATGATGCACAACTAGGCAATGATTTACAACTAGGCAATGATACACAACAAGGCAATGATACACAACTAGCAATGATATACAACTAGGCAATGATACACAACTAGGCAATGATACACAACTAGGCGATAATACACAACTAGGCAATGATGCACAACTAGCCAATGATATACAACTAGGCGTTGATACACAACTAGGCAATGATACACAACTAGCAATGATGCAAAGCCTTGAATGAGTATTTCAAATGTGTACTGCACGTTTGTCGGCTCTGTGGCTAAGTCGATGCGAACGCTTCGTAATGCCGGAATGCCGAGTTCGATCCCAGCTGCGGGCCATGCGCTTTGCGTTGGTTTCGACGGTGGTATCAAGAAAGTCGACCGTCAGAAAGCCTAGAAAATCCACACAACAGCCAGGGGCTGTTGGGGTTGGTTCTGCAACGTCCTGTAAAGGATACGCAACTAACATAACTTGCACGTTTACTTCTAGATGCCATTGTCTGGAATTTATTGTGTGCTTACCCTTGCACGCCTCTAGATGCGAGTGTCCTTACCCGTTTGCAGTCCTCTAGTGGCTTTTATTTGAATCAGCTTACCTGGCTACAGGCCTCTAGATGATGATGTAAGATGGGGAAACCGGCCACCGGAAACAGAGGCTTGGGGAGGTCAAAGGACAAAGGTCGGAACCTGGTACCTGGAGAGGGGAGACAAGGAATAAGATCATGTGACGTCACCGGTTTCCGCTGTATGGCTTGTGCTGACGGCCCAACACTTCAATGTCCGTGCTGCAAGCAATCTTGTCCCATGTCAGCTAACCCATCCCATATCAGCAAACCTGTTTAATGTCAGCAAACCTGTCCCATGTCAATAAACCTGTCCCATGTCAACAAACCTGTCCCATGTCAACAAACCTGCACAATGTTATGAAACCTGTCCTGTGTCAACTAGCCGTCCCATATCAAAAAAAACCTGTCCCCTGTAAAGAGACCTGTCCTATGCCATTACACATGTCCTATGTCAACAAACCTCTCTTATGTCCTCTCCCTACATACCTGTCCCCTGCCAACAAATCTGTCCCTTGCTAACAAACCTGTCCCATCTCTCATGTCAACAAACCTGTCTAACCCTCTAAAAACCTGTCCCCTCCCAATAAAGCTGTCCCATGTAAACAAATACGCTAGCTAGGTTTGTTAGATAATTTCCTAGCCTTGTTAAAGGAGATCATTTGAAACAATTTTTTTTTTTGGGGTGGGGTGGGGTGGGGGGGGGGGGGGGGGTAATATCCAGAAAACATGAGTTTTGGCTCGGTACTATGTATATCGCAACCCATCGTCCTTGCTTCTATGACAGACACCGATAATCTGGGTGAAATGTGAGTTTTCTGCCTACACTCGGGGATGAAGCCTTACCACAAGAAATTCGTCACCCGCGCAGTCAGGTTTAACCATCTAAGCTAGTAAACCGGGCTCAGGATCACAAAAATTAAGTGGATAAATCACAGTGTCAGATCAACCATTTAATTTTTTTTTAAATAATTGATTTAATTTGGTTCCAAGAAAAAATGTAAAGTTGAAAATTGTGTTCCATTATATCAAAATGTATGTTTAGTTTTCTGGCAATCTGTCATTCCTCTGCAGCTGTAGAAAGTGTTCTCTGTTGCTTATATTATTATTAGGATTTTGTTCAACGCTTTACTTTGAAGAATGCAACAACCATTGAAGATAACAACGCTATTGTTACATAACATTGACTGCTCCCACTGAAAGCTGCCACAACAGCTTTATAACAAAGGGGCCACACATCGCTGACAACAACTCATTTGTCTGAAGGGCCACACATCGCTGACAACGACACATGTATAATGGGCCCCCACAGGGTCTGCAGGTCTTACCTTTGACAGACCCCACAGAGCCTGCTGGTCTTACCGTTGACAGGCCCCACAGAGACTGCTGGTCTTACCTTTGATAGGGCCCCACAGAGACTGCTGGTCTTACCTTTGACAGGCCCCCACAGAGACTGCTGGTCTTACCTTTGAAAGGCCCCACAGAGCCTGCTGGTCTTACCTTTGACAGGGCCCCAACAGAGACTGCTGGTCTTACCTTTGAAAGGCCCCACAGAGCCTGCTGGTCTTAACTTTGACAGGGCCCCAACAGAGACTGCTGGTCTTACCTTTGACAGGCCCCAACAGAGACTGCTGGTCTTACCTTTGACAGGCCCCAACAGAGACTGCTGGTCTTACCTTTGACAGGCCCCAACAGAGACTGCTGGTCTTACCTTTGACAGGCCCCAACAGAGACTGCTGGTCTTACCTTTGACAGGCCCCAACAGAGACTGCTGGTCTTACCTTTGACAGGGCCCCAACAGAGACTGCTGGTCTTACCTTTGACAGGCCCCAACAGAGACTGCTGGTCTTACCTTTGACAGGCCCCACAGAGCCTGCTGGTCTTACCTTTGACAGGGCCCCCACAGAGCCTGCTGGTCTTACCTTTGACAGGGCCCCAACAGATACTGCTGGTCTTACCTTTGACAGGCCCCAACAGAGACTGCTGGTCTTACCTTTGACAGGCCCCAACAGAGACTGCTGGTCTTACCTTTGACAGGCCCCAACAGAGACTGCTGGTCTTACCTTTGAAAGGCCCCACAGAGCCTGCTGGTCTTACCTTTGACAGGGCCCCAACAGAGACTGCTGGTCTTACCTTTGACAGGCCCCACAGAGCCTGCTGGTCTTACCTTTGACAGGGCCCCCAACGAGAATCACAGCTTTGATCAT